TATAAATACTTTCTTGTTATATTCGTTTAATTTTATAAATCTAAATTATTTTTTATTCAAAAAAAGTTTAGGGACTTAATCGTTCAAAATATGAATGTTCATTGGGTTTTTTTTCGGGACTTTTTTTTCACTATTTTACCACATTAACTAGTTATACAAGTCATAAGAATGTATCCAACAAATTTTAGAAAAGTCCAAGGAGTTATTTAACATGTTTTGGATTGTCCAATGACTTATTTGTTCTAAAAATTGTCTAATGAGTTATTGAACATGTTTTAAATTGTCCAATGAGTTATTTAACATGTTTTAAATTGTTCAAAAAATTGTCAAAGAAGTTATTTAACATATTTTGGAATGTCCAAGGACTTATTTGTTCCAAAAAATTGTCCAAGGACTTATTTAACATGTTTTGGAATGTCCAAGGACTTATTTGTTCCAAAAAATTGTCCAAGGACTTAATCATTCCAAACACTAAAACAATTAATTATTATCTTTATAAGAAAATTATATTATCAAACAAAATATAAATTACTTCGTTATTGAACCTAAATTAAATTATAATAAAAAAATTAATTAAAAAATTACACAAAAAATAAGATTTTTAAAATAGTTAATTTGATATTAATATCGATATATTTTTGTCAAAGGTTTATGATATCTTCAAATTTATATTTTATTCAAATACAAAAACATTATCGTTTTTTCAAAATCACATAAGACCATACTATAACATCGATTGAGATAAAAAATAAAATAAAATATTAAAATCAAGATGTATTTTACTATATTGGATGAATACCCTTTTAGTAAAACAAAATCCATTTTAAATCCAGTTCTGATTTTAAGCAGTAACATCAATTTTTTTTATATTTTCAATACATGATTTAAACTGATTTTAAAGATAATAACAATTTTTTTATAATTTATATTTATCCATATAATTATAAAAAAGTATTCTAGAAGGTAACGAGGGGACCCCCATTAGGAAGCGACTGTAACTCTACGTGTTTATAAAACCCCCAAAATCCCACCTCTTCCCCCTCCAAGTCTTCATCTATCCTCCGCCGCGTGTAGCCGTTGAAACTCTAGTTTCCGATCAAGTTCCGGTAGCTTATCAGAAGTTCAGAATCTTGTTATTTGTCTCCTTCATTTATTCCAGGTAATTCTTCGGATTCCTACTTCTGTTTTGTTCGTTCCTAATAATTTTAATTATTAGCTTAATAGCGTTGCTGTGATCGCCTTCTTTTGGCTATGGATTCATGCTTTTTCTTTATGTAATTTCACACATAGAGTACGAATTTTGTTCATACGCTTATAAAAATCTGTAATTACTGTGAGATGTGGTGGATTTAGTTCGTTTCTATCTGTTTGAAGCTTATCATCAACAACATTTATGTGGCTTTATAAGATTGAGATGAAAACGATCGTGTTATGCCAGGAACGATATCATTTAAGACGTATTATATCACTGGAATTTGTAATTAAAGAAAAAAAGTGTCGGTGAGTAGAAAAATTAGTTACTTCTCCCGAATTCGTTCAAACATTAGGTATTATTTTCATTTGTTTCAGAAATCAGGTATATTTTCATTTGTTTTATTGAGTTATGGATGAACTGGAAGGGGATTAAGTTCATGCCATTATGTGTATCAGACAATTCCTTTCTCTATTTTGGATTACGCAATTTGGAGCTTTATTGCGATGGTTCTGTTTCGTAACAATTTTAACTTATTTTCCGAAATTGTGTTCAACTTGCTATAGAACACTAGAAATAACAGACCTGTTTTCAAGCTCACTGGGTTTTATGTTCTATTCAATTGTTTAAAGTAAATTGGGGAGGGGGGAGGGTTGTTGCTATTTTCTCTTCTTTGGTAAATAAGACCAATAATACCTATGTTTATGGTTGATACATAAATGACTCTTTGAAAAATTGTCCTCGACTTACAAGTAATACGTTACAAGTTGTACAATTTATAAAGATGCTATGAGGACCATGTAGATCGTTGCTATATACACCCATTGTTTATATCGAATCAGGTCAAATCGTATTTAGGGGTGCATTTAGCCTATCCGAACTGTATCCACATCCCTATGAGAAAATGTCAAAGATAGGTTGGCTTTTCATCATCTAGAGGATAAGGCATACATGGTCAAAGAAAAAGAAAATATTACAATATTGATATTAGAGTAGGAAATTGGAAAAAAAGGAAAGAGATCTCACACCTTTATTCATTAGACAGAGAAGATGACCAATTTCATGATCCAAAATAGGGAAAGGAATTATATGATACACATAGTGGCATGAACTTAACCCCCTTTCGACTCCTTCCAATGCTCATCAAAAAGAAATGAAAATATACCTAATTTGCAAACGAAATTGGGAGAAATAACTAATTTTTCTATGCACCCGACAATTTTCTTTTTTCTATATTCTGATTACAGAATCCAGTGATAAGATCACGATGTCTCAAATAATATCGTTTCTGGCATAACACAATGGTTTTCATCTCAATCTTATAAAGCCACATAAATGTTGTTGAAAATAAACTCCAAGGAAATGTATCCGTCGCATCTAACAGTCATCTAGAAATTTTTAGATGGAGGATGCATACATATGTCAATAATACAACTTTTTACATTGAAAATAAAACCCAATAGAAAGCATAAGTATGATGGAGTATGAATCTAGATGTGGTAGTTGAGATCTGAATGAACAGTGCCCTTGTTATTTTATTGAGGAACTTGGACTTGGTATCCACAAATGTACTTATTATTCTAGTTTGATGTACCTTTCAATCTAGAAGATGATTTGGTGAGTTGTCAATTTTTAGAACTCATACTTCATGGTCTTTGATTGTGTTGGCATGTCATACGTATGGTCAATCCGTGTGTGAATAAATTGACTTCAGAACACTTCATAGCCAATTATATTTGGGTGTTATCGCCATAAAGTTAAGCTTATGCTTTTATGCACATTGATTTTAAAAACCAAATAACCTAGTAAATCCCGCGCAGAGGTAGGGTTTGGGGTAGGATGTACACATACCTTGAACGGGGTAGAGAGGTTGTTCCCGTACGGTAAGTTTGGTACATGAACAGAACTCGACGGGACTGGACTGGTGAGAGTGAGGTAGATGGGTGAAAGTACTATGGAAGGTTGCTAAGGTTTTAATTTGACATGTGTAGTTTAGTATTTTACTTAATTTGTCCCATCTTGATTTTTGTTCCACCTATTTTGGTGGACAAACTTAGTTCTGTCATGTGCCAGTCTAATTGTCAAACTAAACGTGGAACAATAAGTTTTTGTTCTGTCCTGTTAACATCTTGTCCTATGGACCAAACGCATCCGTAAAGACCCCCTAGCTTGGAAACAAAAAATGGAAGAAACAAACGGGCTACAGGTGAGAGTGTGTGTAAAGAAATAAGGAGTACCATAAATTATAAATGCACTAAGGAACAAATATGAGATGACGGAAATACGTTAAAAGAAACACAAAGCACAATACTGACAACTACTGATAACTATGTATGCACGTTGATTTTAATCTCGTTAAATGTATTCTACTATCGCATTTTCTTACTAAATTAACGCTTATTCCAGAGCTAAATACCACAACCCACATCAAATCGGCAATGGAATGCGAAAACTATTTTGCAGATGAATTGAAACCCGTTCCATCCTCCGAAAAATCTTCGCCGTGCTTCGACTGCAGTATCTGCTTTGACTTCGCTAAAGACCCGGTGGTCACTCTTTGTGGCCACCTCTATTGCTGGCCTTGTATCTACAAATGGCTATCTTTCCAGACCACTTCCACAGACTCCGACGACAATCCACTTTGTCCCGTGTGCAAATCCGAAATATCCCACACATCCGTCGTCCCTCTTTACGGCCGCGGCAAAACATTTTCTGACGACGAGGCCGACACCAAGACCGCGGTTATCCCACCTCGGCCACACGCAACTCTCGTCCCCGCATCCAATCCCGCCCAACGGTTCTCTTATCGGAATTCTCATCAAACGCCTTATGGAAGTTACGATCGTTCACCGGACATTTATAGTCACGGGGTCGATGCTTACAATCCAAACGTGTGGATGTACGGAGAGATGATTTACGCTCGGGTTTTCGGGAACTCGCAGAGTTTGTACACGTTTCCGAACTCGTATCATTTGGCTGGGAGTAGTAGCCCTAGATTAAGAAGGCAAGAAATGCAGATTCATAGATCCTTAAACAGGTTAACCATTTTCTTGTTTTGCTGCTTCTTTTTATGCCTACTGCTGTTCTAGATAGGGGTAGATTAGTCTTTTTACCGAAATTTTTGTGCAGTTTGTATGCTTGCTTATAGCATCGATGTGTAGATGAGATTATATATTATGTGGTTTGTGTATAAATGAAGTTTTGCCAATTTTCTTGTAATCAAATGAGCTGAATCATTTGTGGTGGAATTTAATTGTGCCTTAATTTGATAATTAGTTTTGTATTTGTGTAATGCAACGGGATTTAAATTTTATTGTATATCGACTTATCGAGAATGGTTCGTGTTAAAATGAAAATGTGATATTTATGTTTGGACATAAATGGCGAAATATGTTGTTCAATTTATGTTCTTAAAAAACCATAAGTATTTGGGGTAAGAGCTTAACGGGTCCCTTTACCGTACTAGATAAAATGACAACAATCGAGAATCTTACTTGGTAAAAATGATGACAAGGATCGAGAGTTTTATCCAGTAAGTGAGGGTGATTGACTCTTACGGTAAGTGCTTACCGGGTATATAGCTCCTTAATGTACTAATGATTTATATTTGATGTTTTTTTAAATATTGCGGTTTTGAAATTTAGTTATTTTTTTTACTTAAGAGTGTTTTTGTATCTGCACAAAATTAGTAGGGAAGAGTCATAACTGGATGATTGACAGTGAGACAGACAAGTGAAAGAATTGTAGAAGGTTATGGGGTTTAATTTGACATGAGTGATCTATTAATTTATCAATCTTGTCTTATTTTCCAGATTTTTGTTACACCTATTTTGGTGGACAGGGAAAATCGCTTATCAGGTAAGCCCCTTAATTACCAGATAAAATTCACAATCCTTGCTAATACATTTTACCATATAAGATTCTCAGTTCTTGTTATATTCACTCAATAAAGTAAAATAAATACCACCTAATAAACGCTTACTCAATAAGAGCTCACAAGATATTATAAGTTATGATATAGAAGTTTCTCTAACCTACTAAATGCACCTAGACACTATACATGTTCTCACACACAATGACAAACAATCTTGCATTGGTTTGGTCGTTACTTTAATCAATCACAATCTTCAATCCATTCATTTGTGGATTCTCTTCACATCCATGTCTACTATTAAATAATCTTCCAATACCTTATTCATAATAAATAACAATTATATAAATCAATTATTTGCAAGTCTTTAGACTCATCACCTAACAATACATGTTCATGTACAATTTATTTTATCACGGATATCCATACTTTTTTCAGTTAAAAAACACGACATTTTTTGGAGTGTTTCACTGCATCTTTAAAACTTTGAACGGATTTTTCATTGCCAAAGGATGATAAAGCAGGTGTATGGTACCTGAAGTTGAATTTGTATCTTCTAGGATATCTAGCTTCTTACCCACTAGACTAAAGTAAGGGGTAAGACCACTTAGGGGTGTTTATGGGTTGGGTTTGATTGGGTTGAAGACTTTTGAACAATCCAACCCAATGCTTACGGTTTGAAAGATCTTAATCTAACTCAACCCAAATCAAAGTGCAATCTAACCCAACCCAACCCAAACCGTACGAGTTGTTGGGTTGGTTGGGTTGATACTTTGATACATTAAAGTATTTTTTCTAACATTGAATATGTTATTTCTTTTTCATCATCAACCATTTGATACAACTTATCCATGTTTCTTACGTATATCACATTCAGTTAATTTTTTCAATTTACATATATATGTTCACAGTTACTGAACATATATACGAATGAGTTATATAGAGATGTGAATAGATTAAAAATATGTATATATAAAGAGCATACATGATTGTGTAATTGTCTAATGATATATTAATAGAAATTCAACAATCATATTAAATCTAAGAAATAAAAGGATATCGGGTTCATCGGGTTGGGTCGGGTTCAAATAATAGTAATTCAATATCAACCCAATACCCATGATTTGAAAATTTTACAACTTGATTAGACATCGGGTTGCTTCAGGTGAAGTTATTTCGCGTTGTATTGGGTCGGGTTGATCAAATAAATCGGGTTGGTCGGGTTTTTGAGCACCCCTAAGACCACCCATGGCTTTTCCTCCATGTTCTTTTGCTTGATGGTCGAGGTTAAATTTTTTTATAGTTTTATTTACAGATTGTACATATCGGTTTTTCTTGTCGTCACTGACTTCATACGTTTATTAATATGTTGTCGCTATAAACTTATCCCAACAATTTAAAAGACATAAATACCCTTCATTATTTAAATCCACACACCTAACACAATGTTTTTGTGTTGGCATTTATGTTCATTGCCAAAAACACCCATCTTGGAATGATGGGTGGTTGTGCATTTTGAGATTCAATGGATTTCTTGTTTGTCACAATTGGTTCTCTCTTATGAACCACTTTGGGTGTATCTCCATTATTGCTTTTATACATTCAACATACATCTACTATAAATTGGAACTGATTGTTTGACAGTTGTTGAATGATTTGGTGTATAATGATTAAGTGGTCAGAGTGATTAAGAGACTCTCATGATATAGTACAAAATGAAATGTAATTGTTCGGTAATTGTTTACAATGGAATTAGGGTGCTGAATGGTTAAGGGAGACTCAAGATACAAAATCATCCAGAGGGTATTGGAACCAATAAGAGACAAAAAAAAATTTCAAACAAGATTCACCTCTTAACGATTCAAAGATGTCTCTTAATGAAACTATCAAGAGGTAAACAAACAGCCCCTAAGCCTTATAGAATTAGAAAATGCATCAAATTGAGCTCCTAAATCACATCAAAAGAAAAAAAAAAGAAAAAATTGTGGTAAATTGCGTTAAAATGTAACGAAGTTTATCTTAGTTATTATTTTGTGCAACGATAATATTATTTTTTATTAAACAGACATTCAGCTCCTATTTCGTATTTTGTATACATTTTATCTGGTAAACGAGTCTTTAGTCTACATAGGATCAGTTAATTTTGATGTTACAATTTTCCATATAATTAAGAATTACAATACAACTGACAACTTGACATACTAATAGTTAAAATATCTACCAGTTACTGGTCGAAGTGGGTACAAAAATGTTTGTTACAATAACTGAGAAAAATAAAATATATTGTTACACTGAGTAGTAACTAAGGCAAAAATTCGTTGCATTTTGATGCATTTTGGCTGTAAGGATGCATACCAAAACCGAAGCAAATCTGTGTAGATGCATTTGATTGATTCAGTATTGACGAATCTTGAAAAAGTTTGCTAACGGTTTGCACAAACTAAACAAAAATTACAAAACTTGAAACCTTTTCTCCAACGTCTGTATTCTTTCTTTTTTTATTAACCTGGATATCCAACATGTTATGCGAGCCGACTAATCTCAGGGAGACCACCTGCTTTGCGGGTATCCCGGAGTCACCGCATTTGAACCTCCATAGCCACAAGAGTATTTTTATTCCTCCTTGGATTTGAACCTGGAATCTCCAGACACTTTCGACCTTTGGAGCCCAAGCTCAAACCACTCATGCACCACCCTTGTGGTTAATGTATATTTCAATAACATGTAACGATCACGATGGCCATAGATTCTAGGTAGTCTCGTCTTTACTTCGATCACGTCAGGTAAATAAATGTCACAACTGCACCATGTCAACATCAGTAACATATCTCATGGGTTTGAGACTTATGTATTCTCAAACACTGTATGAATAAAACTTATCAGATACAAAGTTAAATGATAAAGACAGATATTCACATTAATCCTTTTCATCATTCTAAAATCAATATCTCAAATATCTGTATAATAACTTCAAGTCGACTGACAATAAACAAACGATTTTCAATTTAAATCGAAAAATATATATATTCTTGTAATTAAATAAAATAATAAAAATAAAAATTATTCCAATCACAAGTGGGTAACATTTACCCATCATTTCAAGCAAACATATGGTGGGATGTCCAAATCTCTTTTAAAAGTGACACCCCACTTCAATTAATGAAATATTGTCCATTGCTTTTTGTTTTTTCATTGGGTGGGACCCACCCACATCAAAATATTTTAAAACCCAAAAAGTCAGATATTATACTGTTAAATCAAAGGGTCTTTGTCCTAGTGGTATCGTAATCCTTGGCTTCTTAGGAGGTCAGGGGTTCAAACATCACCAAAGGTGGAGAGGATGTGTGAGTTTATTTGTTGCATTTGCCGTATATAACTTAAAAAAAAAAACAAATTACTTCATATATCCTAAAATAAATGTTCATAAAAAAATGCATACGGTATAAGAAATATAAATTGTTATACTTTTTCAATAACTAAATTACAGTTTTACCCATCTTATAATAAGAGAAGTGATGAATTTCTTCATCTCATAATTAAGAGTGAAATTAACAAGAAGACACTGAAAGTGGACATTTAGTTGGGTGCGAACCCACTTGGATGCGTTAACCGACGTACTGATTTTGTCATATCTAAAGAACCTGTATCGTTATCATATATGGTTGTGGCGTACCGGTGAAACCGTAAAGGGTTGTAGTGGAAAATCTTATCTACTATGAGTTCGAATTCAGACGTTGACAAAGCGTTCGTGACTATGGAGATTAATCTGCAGTGACTCCAGATCATTCATGATTGCCTAAAAATGAGTTGATGTATGTAAACTGACCCAAAAATCTGTGGTTAAAAAAAACCTTAAAACTGTTGTGTTTGGATCACATAGTTCAAGAGTTTGACTTTTGGTTCTAAAATGTTGCTTTAAATTTGGATTTGACTTATGGAACCAAACCTATTATCTTATTGAGTGAAAGGTCACATCTCAACCAACAAACTTGATTGTGATTTATATATTGGTAGGAAGAAGACATATGTATGTTAGGTTATATAGAGAGAGAGGGGGGTTGGTTATTATACAACATTTGACATTTGTGCAACCAATACAATTTAATTTTAACCGTCTATTTCATTTTATTAATATGTGATTTCATAGAATTTTTTATTGTTTCCTAATATAAAGTATTGATTATAATTAATGAATCATATTTATCTTCCATAAATATTCAAATCATAATAAATGAACTCTCATCATTTCCATAAATATCTCAATTTATTGGGTTGCATTGGTTGTACAAATGCAATGAGTTGTATTTGAAACAAACTCTATATATGTATGTATGTATGTATATGTATATATATGGGGTTGGATTCACGTGAGACCAATGGTTTTTCGTGAGACCCGTAAGACCAATTTATGTTCATTGATCAACTTTATAAGC